GAATGCACTGGTGCAGGCGCTCGGCCGCGGGCGGGCGGGCGGCGGGCAGCGCCTGTGGAGAGCAGTCGGTGGCGCGGCGAGCGCCCGGAGCTGCGGGGATCTGGGGTTTATTTTAGTCCAGCGCCAGGTTTACGACAGACTCGGGGGGCGGAGCAACATCCCAAACGAGCAAACAATGGTCATTGACATCTTTTTCTCGCCCCCCCCTCCACCTCGCCCCGTAATGGAGGCGAGAAAGGTAAAGGGGGCAGTTGGGTGTTTCTTGAAAAGATCACCCCCCTTTACTTTCTCCATCCTTCGCGCCTCAACCCGCGCCGGTTACCCTGGCCCCTCGAGCACCAGAAATAGAAACTCGGGGATTGGCGTCGAGGCTGGACGTGAGACGCCACACTTGTCTCTTGCCACACCCGAGTTTTCCTAAAGTGACTCCGTGGCGAAGTCCGGTATAATTGTGTGTGTGTGTATGTGTGTGTGTGTGTGTGTGTGTGTGTGGCGGGGGAGACGCGCAGTTAAGTTTGGGAGGGGGTGGTTTTCAGGGCTGGCTGCATCCTTTCCAGCTACCAACCCCTCACTGGCTCCTTCATCTAAAGTGTTAAATTAAAATTAAAAAGAAAAAAAAAAGCTCTTGGGTTCCACCGTAAGAGTGCATAAAGAGAAGAGGTACAATGACCGTTCTCTGCCATTGTAGGGCTCTCTAATTTATGCATCTTTAGATCCTTAAGCATCATTTTGTGGGCAACCAAACGGATACTTCCAAATTAGCTCAAAGTATCCAAATCCAAAGAAGAGAGAAAACACACAGAGAGACACTGGCAAATGCATAGGTGCTAACTTGTATTTTGTTTTTACTCGGAGGGGATGGAAGTTGAACAAGAGAGAAAGAAGGTAAACTTTTATTTGCTAAAATGTTTCGTGTTCTATTTGCACTTGTAAAGTTCTTTACTCTTTTTTTCCTTTGTTTCTGACTCCCCTCATATCTGACTTAAGATACATTTTCCTATCACAATCCCCCCTCATCGAGAGAGAGAGAGAGAGAGAGAGAGAGAGAGGAAGAGAGAGACAAAACTCGAAATTTCAAATATTGCAATGCGTCTTTTTGTTATGTTTGGAAAAATAACGTATTAAAGAATATGAAAAGAAATGTAGAAAAATTAAGTGAAAGCAGTAGCTTCTCTCAAAAAACTGTCTTGTCTTATGATTTGTAAATATACCTGCAAAGCAAAGAAGTTAGAAATGATCAAATCCCCAACAGGACCAAAGCTAAAACAAAAGGAGTGTGAGACCATATTCACTGAAATTTGAAAACAGTCTTACAATTAAGAAACATTATGATAAAAGGGAAATGAAGACACAAATAAAAATGATGATAAAAAGATAAATGAAGATTCAATTTTAAGTTTTCCTGGAAACTGGAATAGAAGAAGCAAAACAATGCTTTTTAAGCAAGAGTTTACTGTGGAAAAAAAGAAAGGAAAGGAAAAGAGAAAGAATGGAAGAAAGAACAGAGAAGGGAGGGAAGGAAGGAGGGAGGAAGGAAGGAAAGTAGGAAGGAAGGAAAGTAGGAAGAGGGAAGGAAGGAGGGAAGAAGAAAGGAAGGAAGGAAGGAAGGGAGGGAGGGAGGGAGAGAGAAAAAGGGGTGGGGGAGGGAAACTACTAAAGTTTAACCAGACAGTTGCACTAAGTCTCCAAGATGAAAACTGTCTTTTTTCTGTTTGGCCGCAGGCCTGTGATTAGAACGTCACTCCTGGCTTTGTCTTATTGTTTGAATTGTTGTTTTGATCATTTTAGTGTAGTTTTGCAAAGAATCTGCCCTTCACAGGGAGAAAAATCCATGTGGTCATCTATGGGAAGAAAGTGACAAATAGAGGAGTATTACTAGTAATATTCAAAATATGTACTAAGAATATAATAAGGTAAAATGAACTTGTTTACAGACTTCAGTTAATGACTTAACAAGTGTATGATTGTTGCAACTTTAACATGATGCTACTTTTGCAGGTCTTTAAATACTTGGGCTAGGTCTTCCTCCTTACCTGCACTGGATTGCCTACTTATTTTTACCTAAGTTAATGGTACACAAAGAAGCCTTTTAGTACACATTAAATTACTTGCTGGGATCCTTCTGAAAACTCCAATTTAGCATTCAGATTTTTGGTTTAATTTAAATTGTATTATATTTATTGGCTTAAAAATGGAAAGTCATTTTAAACTTCCATAGAAGACAATAAGGTAAGTAAAAAATAGTGTCTTACAACATATGTAGATATAAAAGTCACTTATGAGCAATCATATTTTATTTCTCAGGTCTAAACATAATTTAAAAAATGAAACCATTATTATAATGTCCATGTTGATTAGTTGTCCAGATTGGAAAGGTATTAACAATTTTTCCAAATAAATATGTTTTCAAGCTATAGATTTATTTAATCTCTTATTTTACTTACAGAACTTCAATGTAGCAATTTACAGGTGGTTATATTATTCATTGTTGCTTTGTCATGTATGTGAATATATATCTGGAAAACTGCCATCTTTAAATAACAAAGCACTTTGTCACATCTGAAGAATGTCTACAGAGAGTTACTTTCTGATTGTTTAGAAACATAATCAACCAAATAGAACTCCTTCAGAGGAGGTTGTGGGAAGAAAAATCTACAGTCTTCAACATATCCTGTCAATTATTTGTGTCTCATTCTAGACATTAAGATACTGTCATGCTAGAAACACTATTAGAATGTGCAAAGATGATTTTTAAAAGATATGTTATGTACATTCAAAGACATAAAATAGTAATATTCCATTGACACTTTCTATCAAATTCATTTCATCAGAATATTTTCTTCCTAAATTGCAATAGAAATTTGTAGCTGATTCATTGTTAAATATTGTTGATTACATTGGATTTTAAAGGAAATTTGTTTTCTAGATAATGTTTTCTTGTTCTTTCTATCCAAAACAATGCTGGTATTCAGGGCTTAAAAAAAAAAAGGCAAATGCTCTCACAGGGCAAAGAGATCCCACTCTGAGCTTGGTGTTTACCTGTTCTCTCGGGTCTGTCTTTACATCTTGAGTCTATTTTGTATGCCAGGAATAGTATGTTTTATATGATTTGGTACTTTTCCTTTTTTGTAGTTTCACACATCATACATGAAAAAGTTAATTAAAAAAATAGGCTGTGGCAAATAATGAAAATATTTGTAGGCAAAAAGATTCAGTAGGGTTTCCTGACTTTTTTTTTTTTAATGAAACTGAACATCTCTGATGTGTTAATCTCACAAACAAAAACATTTGGCCAAAAAAAAAAAAATTCTGAAGCAGGCGCCTGTCTCCACCCCCTCCCCATCCCGAGTTGGGATTTGCTGTTGTCAGACATCTCAACAAGAGAGGCCTGGGAGACTGAAGAAACCTTGTGACAGACTGGCTTTGAAGTGGAGTTCCAGCCAGCACGGAGAGGGAGAGTTTTGTCTTTTTAGGGTAGCAAATAGACTGCCAATTGGACCTAAATTTCCTCATCAAAGTGAAATGTGGTTCAAAATATAACTCACTTCCTGATACTCAAGAATGGAAGTGCCATGTAGAAATGAGACACTTGATGTATTTGTGGTTAGTTTTAAATAGTTACGAAATCATTTGATTAATGACATTTTCAAGCTGGAGAAGTAGCTTGAAAGTATATCATCTTTGCAGCTGGAAAGGAATAAAGAATAGTGCCAAAGACAGGATTTTGTAGAAGAATTTGAGGCATAAGGGAAAAAATGCTAGGAGAATGAAACAAAGTTTATTCTAAATGTTTGCTAATAGCTGCAGTTTTTGAAGTCTGGTCCTCCCTCCCCACCCCCTCTCTCTTTCTCTCCTGCCCTGAACGTTTTTGTTTTCAGTGTTTATTTCATTTATTTAAAATTTGTCTTAGCAAGTTTACTTTTGAATTTATATGACTTTGTTATTTC